ATGCCTCTGTATTTGCAATAGGAAGGAGGAGGAAACTGGTTTTCTACCCCACCCTTCACTACCCGAAGGAGTCTCAGAGCGGCTTACAATCTCCTTTCCCTTCCCCTCCCCAGAACAGACACCCTATGAGGTAGGAAGCAACCGTCTCTCCGACTGGTTGTCTTCTTCTATTTCTTGGAGCTACTCCAAGCATCACCAAAATAACCTGACAGTTGCTAAGACTCTTTAGTTGGAACGAGTTTGAAAAATATATCGACACGTGCAAGAGGCGACTGCTGTAAGCCGATCTGAGCCCCTGGGACACAGCAGGAGAAATAAATCTTACAAACATGCGCAGACAGGTGTGGCAATGCCCGTATGGTACAGACGCAGAAGGACAGAGCCAGAAAGGGCGATGGAATCATAACGCCCTGATCTCCGACCCAAGGCAAGTCTCCTCTACCTCCTCCTCCTCCTCGTAACTCAGATCACATGCAAACAGCCGGGCAAGAACCAAGGTTTTCCCGCAAACTATGCAAAACTGAATTTATTCTATGCAGGCAACAGAGTTGCACTGTATTAAGTGATTGACAAAGTTACCTAGATTAATTATTCGGGGCCGTGATCTATACCAGGGGTGTCAGACCTAAGGCTCGGGGGCCGGAACCAGCCCGCCCAAGGCTCTTATGTGGCCCGCGAACAACTAGTACAAAGGAGGGAACAGGAGGCTGCCCGAGGGGGAGGGGGCGGAGCCACGCCAATTGTGGCTTCAGCATGGCGGAACAACCTCTCACCTGCTGCAGTCAAGCATTGTGGGAGCGTCTGCCCAGTGCTGCATCGCTGGCTCTCCAGTCTGCCCATGTTGGTTTCCTTTGGCACCTCCCCCACCCAGCCCGTGGAGCCTTGTCGTGAGGATACACCACCTCGGAGCTTACCAGCTGCTGTCCTTTATATAGTTCATATCTCCGGTAAAAGGTAAAGGTAAAGGTTCCCTTGCTCGAAAGCCAGTCAAGTCCGACTCTAGGGTTGCGGTGCTCATCTCCGTTTCAAAGCCGAAGAGCCAGTGCTGTCCGAAGACGTTTCCGTGGTCATGTGGCCGGCATGACTAAACACCAAGGCGCACGGAACACTGTTACCTTCCCACCGAAGTGGTACCTATTTATCTACTTGCAATTTCTTGCTTTCGAACAGCTAGGTTGGCAGGAGCTGGAACTAGAGACGGGAGCTCACTCCATCATGCGGCACACTCGGGTCTCGAACTGCTGAACTACTGACCTTCCACAGCCTGCAGTTCAGCGTCTTAACCACTTGAGCCACCGCCGCTCCATCTTGCCTTAATCTCCGGTACCCGGCATTAAGTTTTATGGGCACACATTAAGTTTTATGGGCACACATGGCCCACCCGACAAAGTGACATTTATGTCAGATCCAGCCCCTGTAACAAATGAGTTCGACATCTCTGGTCTGCACCACCGTGTTTCGCTTGTTGAAACTAGAAGTCCTGCTATGCCATTTTTGCAGCATTTAACGTGTCCTCTTAATACTTACGGCTTGGCTTGGCTTGGCTTGGCTTCAGTTCTGTTTTTAGATTTCTGGTGGGTTCTACAACCCAGATGCCACTGTGCTCTCTATGGAATACCACCCCTACCGTCAATTGTATTGACTCACTCTGTTGGAATCCGCCTTTGCGTCTAAGTGAGAAAGGCGGACATGGCGTGAATTAAATAAATAAATAGCTACCCAAAGGACTATCGAGCCAGGGGGTTTGAACTGACCGAGAGAGACGCGATCCGAGAAGGCAAAAATAACCCACACCGCCCTTAACCTAGAAGAAAATCCTTTCGCAAGGGGACCCCCCAAGATGTCCAATTTCCATTTTTTTAAAGTAAGCTCCTAGGTCCTAGCCCAGTGGTGGCGAACCTCTGGCACGGGTGCCAGAGGTGGCACTCAGAGCCCTCTCTGTGGGCACGCGTGCCATCGCCCCAGCCAGGCCCAGACCATCATTAAAGTGTCGAATTCTCTGCCAAATAATTTTAAGTAAATGAAAGCATTTGGGATTGCTTTCCTTACTTTGTTTGGATCATCTTAAGTTAATGTAGGAGTTGTTTTTTCTAAAGTAAAACCTCAGTATTCAGGTTAAATTGCCGTGTTGGCACTTTGCGATAAATAAGTAGGTTTTGGGTCCTTATTAAACCCATAATTCCTCAGTAGTCCCACCCCACCCCCCAAATCCTCACAGGGGTGCCAACTCTGGGTTGGCATATTCCTGGAGATTTGGGAGTGGCGCCTAGGGAAGAAGGGGAACTCAGTGGGGTATAATGCTATAGAAGAGGAGGAAGAGATGGGATTGATACCCCGCCCTTCACTACCCAAAGGAGTCTCAGGGCGGCTTACAAACTCCATTCCCTTCCCCTCCCCACAACAGACACCCTGAGAGGTAGGAGGGGCTGAGAGAGCCCTTTCGAGGACTGCCCTTGAGAGAACAGCTCTGAGAGAACTCGTGACTGACCCACAGTCACACCAGCAGCTGCATGTGGAGGAGTGGGGAATCAAACCCAGTTCTCTCAGATTAGAGTCTGTGCTCCTAAGCACGACCCCAAACTGGCTCTCCCCTCCCAAGCTGGAATGACTGTATTATTTAATGACTCCAACTTATGTCACAGCGATTAATTCATGGATGCACTCTGATTAGTTCCACTGATGAAGTGTGCCGAAACGAGGCTTTTATATCCGGAATCCTCGTGTGACTTCTGCCTGGCTCTGTGTGACTTCTGCCTGGCTTTGTATCACTTCTGCCTCACTCTGTGTGACTTCTGCCTGACTTTGCGTGACTTCTGCCTGATTTTTTTTACTGCTGCCTGACGTTCTGATCCCTTTGGACTGATTCTTTGGACTTCTCTGGATCCCCATTTCTTGACCATTCTCTGACTTATAGTCTGTGCTATGGTATTTATATTCCTTGTCTACACGATCATATTACGTTGCTTAATTCTTTATTGAATGGTCTATTTCCATGACCATTACCTACATATAAAATCTTAGTTATATTTTTGCGTTTCGTTACAGCACAGTTGTTATTCCCGCCTGGAGGTTGGCAACCCTAGCCCCTGCCCATGAAAGCAAGAGCCGGAGGGGGGGCTGGCAGTCAAGGAATGGGTGCCACCTCTGAACTCTTGCCCCCAAGAGGCCAAGATGTTTTGCAAGAGGAGTCGTAAAAAACGCTCAACGCACAGAGAGGCCGAGGGGGCAGAGGGGGAGGGGTGACAGCCGCCAGTGTGCCTCCGAACAGCTGGATTCCTCGATAAGCCCCTGCGGCAGCGAAGCCAGCGGTCCCTCCCAGCTCTTCCTCCGGCTCAGGACAGCCTGTTCTGCTGCGGCGGGGAGGGGAAGGAGGGACGGCCTGTTCTGCTATGGCAGGGAGGGACACGTCATCCCTCCACGTATACACACACAACAAGAAAGCCCCCCGCCCATCAAAGCCTGAGAAAACTCACACCTCCGCAACTGGCCTCCAGGGCAAGCACGGAACACAAAGTCCCCGAAATAACAAGAGTCCCCAGCCTCCTGCTTCCAGAAGTTACACCCCCGCACACGGCTTCCCTCCTCCTCCCCAACCGGGAAGCAAATTCCTGGCACCCGACAGGCCACCAGCTGCCAATCTGCGGTCCGGGGAGAATCCGTTTTGCCACCGATCAACCGTAGATTTTGCCAGCTCTTGGTTGGGAAACTGCTGGAGATTTGAGGGCACTGCTTGGGGAAACAGCTCGGCGGGGATGTGATGCCGCTCTAGGACTTCCATGCCTCCCAGACTCTATGGTATATCATACAGGTCCCCCGTGTTCCTCTAAGCTGAGTGAGTGTGAGCTAGCTCAGTTTTTTAGCCTCCGGCTCACACATTTTTGTCTTCGCTCAGGAAGGAGGGCTCCAGAGCAAACTAATTTGTGCAGTGGCCCCAAATTGTTCACTCACACCTTTAATGCCAGTAGCTCACGAAGTAGAATTTTTGCTCACAAGACTCCACAGCTTAGAGGGAACACTGCAGGCCCCCCCCTGAAGCAGCCGTTTCCTCCAGGGAAGCTGATCTCTGTAAGGCTGGAGATCAGTCCTCACGCCAGGTCCCACCCGGAAAATCAAAGACACAACCCTATGACCAACCCAGAACAGGAGACTTGGGAAGGAACGAGACCTACCGTGACATCTTTGTAGAGATGGACGGGGTCGTAGTCGATGTCGTTGCTGATGAAGAAGTCGTTGGCTACGGCCAAGAGGGTCATCTCCGGCAGGGAGAAGATGTCCATGAATTGCTTGATAGCCGGGCCCTGGAACGCAGGCAGAGAGAGGGGAAAGGGGGTTGGACTAGATGACCCTGGAGATCCCTTCCGACTCTATGATTCTAAGGGGTCGTGGGACACCAGGTTTGACTTTCTGAGAAACGGGCAATCCTCAGCCGGGGCTTCCCAGTTGTCTGCCACTTAACACAACAACAAATTAGGCACCGGCAACGATAACAATCAGCAGAGGAGGAATGCAAAACCAGCAGGGTGTCCAGTCCAGCGTTCCCTCTAAGCTGAGTTAGTGTGAGCGAGCTCACAGTCCTTAAGCCTCCGGCTCACACATTTTTCTCTCAGCTCAGGAAGGGATGGCACCAGAGCAAACGAATTTACCCAGTGGCCAAATCGCCCAATCGCAACTTGAATGCCGGTAGCTCACAAAGTAGAATTTCTGCTCACAAGCAATGCTCTCTCTAAGCTGTGGAGTCTCGTGAGCAAAAATTCTACTTTGTGAGCTACCGGCATTAAAGTTGTGAGCGAGCCGTTTGGCTCCTGCATCAATTAGTTTGCTCTGGAGCCCTCCTTCCTGAGATGAGACAAAAATGTGTGAGCCGGCGGATAAAAAACTGTGAGCTGGCTCACTCTAACTCAATTTAGAGGGAACACTGCTCACAAGACTCCACAGCTCAGAGGGAGCACAGTCCCAAATTTCTGCCGCCAAGGTGGACTCCTCCAAGTTCTAACGAGGGATGACCTTGCTCAGCTTCTCAGATCTGACTGATCGGGCTAGCCTGGGCCAGTCAGATCAAGGCAACAGACAAATAGAGGTGGTTGGCCCTTGCCTGCCTCTGCCTAGCGACTCTGGACTTCCTTGGTGGCCTCCCCTCCAAATATTAACCAGGGCTGACCCTGCTTCTGAGATCTCACGAGATCGGGCTAGCCTTGGACCATCCAGGTCAGGGGACTGCTTTGCTGACAGCCCATCATTTAGAACGGTATCCAACAATTAAGGAAGTGACCCAGTTATTTTTACACCGTTTCTTCTGCCTTTACGTCACAGTGGTGTCGATTTTAAAGAAGACTGGGCTGACGGATGCAGAGAGATGAGATATAGATTACAGGCAAGGAGAAGGAGAAGATAATGGAGAAGGGGGAAGCTACTCCCTGACTTCTAGAAGCGCTGTTCTCCGCCTGCCCGCCCCGTCCACTCCATGCCTTACCCTCGACCAGTGGCATAGGCGTGCTGTTTCCGAGCTTATCTTCACAAAGATAAGGAGAAACTTAAAAGCAAGGTTCTCAGAATACTTATTTCAACACACGTACGCAAGAAACTGCCTTCTACTGAATCAGACCCTTGGTTCATCAAGGTCAGTACTGTCTACTCAAACTGGCAGAGGTTCTCCAGGGTCTCAGCTAGAGGTCTTTCATGCTGTCTACTGCCTGGTCCTTTTAAATGGAGATGCCGGGGAATGAACCTGGGACCTCCTACATGCCAAGCAGAGACTCTGTCACTGAGCCAGGGTCTCAGGTCAAGGTCTTTCCCATCACCTCCTGCCTGGTCCTTTTAACTGGAGATGCCGGGGATTGAACCTGGGACCTTCTGCATGCCAAGGTCTTTCCCATCACCTCCTGCCTGGTCCTTTTAACTGGAGGTGCCGGGGATTGAACCTGGGACCTTCTGCATGCCAAGCAGAGGCTCTGCCACTGAGCCAGGGTCTCAGGTCAAGGTCTTTCCCATCACCTCCTGCCTGGTCCTTTTAACTGGAGATGCCGGGGATTGAACCTGGGACCTTCTGCATGCAAAGGTCTTTCCCATCACCTCCTGCCTGGTCCTCTTAACTGGAGGTGCCGGGGATTGGACCTGGGACCTTCTGCATGCCAAGCAGAGGCTCTGCCACTGAGCCAGGGTCTCAGGTCAAGGTCTTTCTCATCACCTCCTGCCTGGTCCTTTTCACTGGAGATGCCGGGGATTGAACCTGGGACCTCCTGCATGCCAAGCCGAGGCTCTGCCACTGAGCCAGGGTCTCAGGGTGAGATCTTTCTCATCACCTACTGCCTTGTCCTTTTAACTGGAGATGCCGGGGATTGAACCTGGGACCTTCTGCATGCCAAGCAGAGGCTCTGCCACTGAGCCAGGGTCTCAGGTCAAGGTCTTTCTCATCACCTCCTGCCTGGTCCTTTTCACTGGAGATGCCGGGGATTTTAACTGGAGATTCCTGGGGATTGAACCTGGGACCTTCTGCATGCCAAGCAGAGGCTCTGCCACTGAGCCAGGGTCTCAGGTCAAGGTCTTTCCCATCCCTTTCTGCCTGGTCCTTTTCACTGGAGATGCTGGGGATTGAACCTGGGACCTTCTGCATGCCAAACAGAGGCTTTGTCCCTGAGCCACGGCCCCTCCTTAAATCACAATGGAGAGAGTTGCCTCCAATGTAGCCTTGGGGCTAACCAGCAAAGGAACCTACCTTGCCATAGAAGCCACTCGCCTGGTGGAGGGGGATATGATGGGTTCCCTCGTACATCTCCAGTACCTCCTCATCTGGAACAGGTTTGAAACCCCTGCAGGAGACAAAAGGGAGGAAGGGTTTAGCTGCCCAGCAGAGACAGCAGCTGAGCATCTGCTAGATGCTGGATCACAGCAGCTGAGGATTCGGAACAACGTGTTCTGCCGCCGCTTCAAAGATGGACACGGGAGTCAAATCCCATTGATTTCAAATGGAACTTCTGTCCAAAGCCCTCTGCATTCATTCCTGCAAGCGACGATTTGAGATTTAGGAGCCAAAATCAGGGATTTATGCTCCTTTCCTCAGTCCTGTTTTAATTTATTTTAAAATCAGAAGGGGGGGGGAAATGAACTTTTAGGCTCAAAGAAAATGTTTTGATTTTCCCCCCTCACATCAGGGGAAAAAATGAAATCTTTAGGGCCCACGAAAATCTCTTAAATTTTGCCTAAAACAGAAAAAATAAAATGCTAAAGTATTTAAAGTTATATAAAAAATAATTTAATATTGGTATTATTATGGCGGGAGGGGTCCACGAAGGTTGGTATTATTATGGCGTATGAAACCTGTGCCAACAAAACTTTTAGCACCCACAAAAATGTTTTATTTTTTCTTAAATAAAAGTAGCAATCATTTATTTTCACGCCCTGAAGCCTTGAAAGGAAAACCACATACATAAGAATAATACATAAAATACAAACCAAACCAAGCATACATACAATCCAAATCAAAAGGTCAGTCACATATTAATTGCCACTGAGATAATTTAGCGCACTGGAGCTTATTAACTTGTATTATTTATGTTAACTTATAAGAGAAAATAAATATAATTTGCATTCGGACAACAACGTTTCGACGTATGAACGCAAATTTATTTTATTGGCAAATTCCTGGATTGTTATTCGTCTTTACACCAACACAGTTGTAAAATATAGTTTTTAATATATTTTTTTAATGGAGGAAGGGGCCCACAGAGGCAAAAGTGCCTACGTCCCACGAAAGCCATAAATTGGCCCTGAACCTGAGCGACACTTACCGGTACACAGTACCCAGCTGGATGTAGTGAAAGGCATCTATCTTCATGAGCAAGCCCTACAGGGGAGGGAGAGAAAGATGGAGTCAACACAAACAGTCCTCCTAGGATCTCTGCCCTCGGGGCTCCAAGACCTTATGCCAGTCTTGCAAACGAGTCTACAGACATTATTAGTTTACAGAAATGATTTAATTTGGCTGCCTGCACACCGCTGGGTTGTCATTTGTGCAACACTGGGAAGAAAGAAAGCATTCATTCTGTTCCTAGAATTATAAATATTTCCCTGCCTGACTGGAAACGAGACAGGTCAGTGGACGAGAAGGTGAATACTGTCTACTCAGACTGACAGTGGCTCTCCGGCATTCCAAGCTGAGATCTTTCATGTCACCTTTTAACTGATCCTTTTAACTGGAGATACCAGGGATTGAACCGAGCAGAGGCTCTGCCACTGAGCCAGGGTCTCAGGTCAAGGTCTTTCTTATCATATCCTGCCTGGTCCTTTTAACTGGAGATGCCGGGGACTGAACCTGGAACCTTCTGTGTGCCAAGCAGAGGCTCTGCCACTGAGCCAAGGTCTATCCCATCACCTCCTGCCTGGTCCTTTTAACTGGAGATGCCGGGGATTGAACCTGGGACCTTCTGCATGCCAAGCAGAGGCTCTGCCACTGAGCCAGGGTCTCAGGTCAAGGTCTTTCCCATCACCTCCTGCCTGGGCCTTTTAACTGCAGATGCTGGGGATTGAACCTGGGACCTTCTGCATGCCAAGCAGAGGCTCTGCCACTGAGCCAGGGTCTCAGGTCAAGGTCTTTCTCATCACCTCCTGCCTGGTCCTTTTAACTGGAGATGCCGGTGACTGAGCCTGGGACCTTCTGCATGCCAAGCAGAGGCTCTGCCACTGAGCCAGGGTCTCAGGTGGAGGTCTTCCTCATCACCTCCTGCCTGGTACTTTTAAATGAGGATGCCGGGGATTGAACCTGGACTCTTGTGCATGTCAAGCAGATGCTCTACCACTGACCCACAGCCCCTCCAGGACTGCCTCCACAATGGAAAAGGGCAGAAACAAGGCCTAGGATCCAAACCTAGATTAAAATCTGTACTCGGCCATGAGGTTTGGGGGGGAACCACTGGCTAGTCACTTCCTGTCAGTATAACCTGCCTACCACAGCTGTTGCGAGGTAAAAAAAATGGCCCTAGTGAGCTCCATGGAGAAAGAACATGACTCAAATAGACAGACAGATTTTATTTATTAAATCTATCTCATTTTTGAAGCGTTGAAAGGGCTCCACAGAACCGGTTCTACAGCACGGTAAGGTAGGACGTACTACAAAGTTTGAGTCCAGTGGCACCTTTCCGACCAACAAAGTTTAATTCTGGGTATAAGCTTTCATGTCTATGGACGAGATTGTAAGTAAATTATTCTATATTGCAGAAATGGAGAAACTAACCTATATTGTTGAAGAAAGAAATATGGAAAAGTATGACAAGTATTGGAAAAAAATTTTATGTTTGGGTAAAACAGTTAGGATGGGTGTAAATTAACGTAATCATATTATCTTGTGCCTAAGTTGGATTTATTTAAGTTTTTCTTATGATGGAAGATCTCTGTAAATATGTGTATTTGGTGGTGTGTTAGTTTATCTCACTTTAGTGAGGTATAGTTGTTAAAACTTAATAAGATTATTTTTTTAAAAAAAGCTTTCATGTGTATGCACACTCATTCCACCAGTATCTGAAGAAGTGTGTATGCACACAAAAGCTTATACCCAGAATTAAACTTTGTGAGTCTGAAAGGTGCCACTGGACACAAACTTTGATCTATTGCTGTAGACCAATATGGCTACCCACCTGCATCTAGGACATACGACTTTCATTTTGTCAGTGTTGATGTGACTGAGGCACAGAGAATAGTGATTTGGCCACTTCAAGGGCTCATTGCTGAGGTAAAGGCTCGAAGCAAGGATCTTCCCACCTCTGACACTTCACCCGAAATCTGCCTCACGTTCCTTTTCCATTTGTCAAGTGAACCAGAGAGTGCCCAGTTCCCAGAGAGATGCCAGGCCTGAGCTCTGTGGCTCTGGGAGAATAATAAGAGCCTAGGAGAGAACCACGCATTGTTTCTGAGCCCAACTGAAAATGTCGGGTCTTGCCATGAAGGTCCTAAATAGCTTGAAGCAGAGACACTTTTATCTTCTTCATTTATACCCCATTTTTCTCCCCAATAGGTACCCAAATTTCTCCTTGTCTCCGTTTTATCCTCACAACAAATTCCGTGAGGTAGGTTAGGCTGAGAGCGTGTGACTGGCCCAAGGTTGTGCATGGCAGAGTAGGGATTCGAACCTGGGTCTCCCAGGTCCTAGTTCAACACTAAACCACACTGGCTCACTTGAAGGACCGCCTCTTCCCATTACACCATCCAGCCCCCGTTAGGCTGCTTTCCTCACACTCTGCTCCCTGTGCCCCTGCCTGCGGAGGTGAGACGGGTGGTGAGCAGAGACGGGGCTTTTTGGTAGTGGCCCCTCATCTTGGGAACACACCTTCCTCAAGGCTAAGCAGCCACCTCTCTTATTCTTCTTCAGTCACCCGGCCAAAACATTTCTCCTCATTCAGGCATATTACAAATGTTGCAGGTTTTATTTCACCTCAGCCACAAACTCCTGAGGTGGCTTTGTCGTAGTTTTCTTTCAACGGCCTGCTGCTGGCTTGACGGCCATTTTAGAAATACTTCACTGGACAAACGTCATTTTATCCTGCCTTTTTGTCCCTAGCAGGATAATGGCTTGTTTTATTGCTGGTTTTAACACTGATCGTTCTCCTGTTCGTTTTTTGTTTTTAATTGATTTTGTCGTACTATCGATTCTGCCTCATGAGCCATCTTGAGGCGGTCTCTGGAGAAGCGGAACGTTCTAAATAAATCGTAAAAATAGCCTCCTGGGCCTATCTCACCTTTGCCATGTCGTAGTGTAAACCCCGGATCGCAAAGTTGGGCTGGTATTCATACTTCAGGATGCCCGTCGGATACTGAGGGGACAGAGATCGAAACAGGCAATTACTGGGGGGGGGGGGGGTTTGACCACAACACAAGGGTCTTCACCACACTACTGTGTGTGGATGCAAGAATATATTTTTATACAATAGGTCCATTTTGAAAGGCATTCTGCTAAACAGAGCTTCTCTCTGAAATACTGAAGAGTTAACTATTAGAATTACGCATAAACTCACTCCTTGACATTTTGTAGTTGGCGCCACCCCCTGCTGCAGCCATTTTGTAGCTATCTCCACCTCCTGTGGCAGCCATTTTGTGGCTGGGCCTATCATTCTGTGTCAGAGTTCCAAAAGTGCCTGCAAGCTGGAAAAGGCTGGGGACCTCTGCTCGAAAGAAAGGGCTAAACTGGCTGCAACTTGGACGGCCATTTTCGTTGCTTGCGTGTCTGCCCGTTTGTGAAGTGGCGGAGGATTGCAGTGTACACCGAAAGGGTGCAGCCAAGCAGAGGAAGCTGACCTCATCCTGATCCTCCGCCTCAGTTCCGATACCTTCCATGACCCAGGCCAGGAAAGAAGGAGAAAGAAACGGCAGCGCAAAAAAAAAATAGTAGAAGAAGAAGAGATTGGAGAGAGAAGAACAAGAGATTGGATTTATACCCTGCCCTTTACTTGGAGTCTCAGAGCGGCCTACAAACTCCTTTCCCTTCCCCTCCCCACAACAAACACCCTGTGTGAGGCAGGTGGGGCTGAGAGAGCTCTGATAGAAACTGCTCTTTTTCAAGAACAGCTCTGACAGAACTATGGCTTGCCCAAGGTCATCCAGCGGCTGCGAGTGGAGGCGTGGGGAATCAAACCCGGTTCTCGCAGGTTCGATTCCGCGCACTTAACCACTACACCAAACTGGCTCTGGGCTGCTCCGACCACTCAGCCAGTGTGAGAAAGAGATGGCTGTGCCACGCGTACCTTATACTGCTCCACCAGTATGTCCCGGGCAGTGTTGTAGATCTGGGAGTGAAGCGCAGGGGAGTACAACGCCAGGGTGTAGTCATAGTCAAAGCCGTAGACCTCGATGGTGCTTAGCGAGATCTCGTTGTTGGCATAGATGGTTGAAGGGTTCAAGAGGTTGCACACCCCGGGCGGGAGCAAGTCTGAAGCAAAAGGTGCGGGCATAAGAAGACCAGAAATTACAGCTCAACACCCTCAGGGATGCCACTTTCGCCACAGGACTGATAACAGGACCCACATCTACCTTGACAACCTTGGGCCAGTCACATCCTCTCAACCCGTGTTCCCTCTGAGCTGAGTTAGTGTGAGCTAGCTCACAGTTTTTTAGCCTCCAGATCACAGATTTTTGACTCAGATCAGGAAAGATGGCTCCTGAGCAAACTAATTGATGCAGCAGCCAAATCGCTCGCTCACAACTTTAATGCCGGTAGCTCACAAAGTAGAATTTTTGCTCACAAGACTCCACAGCTTACAGGGAGTGTTGCTCTCAACCTAGCCCACCTTACAGGGTTGTTCTGAAGATAAAATGGAGGAGAACCACTAAGCCACTTTGGCTTTCCACTGGGGAGAAAGCCTGGGTATAAACAAAGTAAACAGACAAATAAATAAAATCACTGAAAATGGGTTGGGAAGGAGACGAGGGGAAGAGCCAGGGACTGCCTCTGGGCTTATACAGGATCTAGGGGGAGCCAGGTTCGAATTCCTGCTCAGCCATGAAGCTGGCTGGGTGACCATGGGCGAGCCTCACACTGCAGGGCTGTTGTGAGGACGTAAGAATCTAGTAAGAGCCCTTCTGGATCAGACCAGTAGGTCCATTTAGTCCAGCTTCCCTGTTTCATACAGTGGCCAATCAGTTACCCCTGAGGACCAACAAAAATGACACAGAAGACAAGGTCATCATTCACCATTAGCCACAGTGACTAAAGAGAACCTCCATGTTCAGAGGCAGTCAGCCTCTGAATCCCAGTGCCAGGAGGCAGCATCATGGGAAAGTGTCGGCCCCAACACCCTGTTGTTGGACCTCCAGAGGAACTGGTTGGCAACAGCATGAGACAAGATGCTGGACTGGATGGGCCCTCACTGGTCTGACCCAGCAGGGCTCTTCTGGTGTCCTTATCAGGGGAAGGCCTCGGCCTCCCTGCCCTGTTGCTGGCCCTCCAGAGAAACCGGCTGGCCCCTGTGTGAGACGGGAGGCTGGACTAGAGGGACCCTCCCTGGTCTGACCCAGCAGGGCTCTTCTGGTGTCCTTATCAGGGGAAGGCCTCGGCCTCTCTGCCCTGTTGCTGGCCCTCCAGAGGGACTGGCTGGCCCCTGTGTGAGACGGGATGCTGGACTGGATGGACCCTCACTGGCCTGATCC